ACCATCAAAGGCGCTCTTGACACTTTCCTCGAAGATGGCGCGAAGACGGCCCTCGCTGCCGCAGAAGCCAGGTTCATAGCCAACAACCCCCGGTCCAAGCAGCTGCATGAGCTTGCCGTCGGCGTTCTGCCAGGCGGCAACACCCGCAGCCTCCTCCACACGTCCCCCTTCCCCCTGAGCATGAAGCAGGGCAAGGGCGCGTACGTCTGGGACGAGGACGGCCACAAGTAAAACCCCCCACCGCCCATGTCCCCAACTCTCGTCCCCTCACTGACGCCTCCTGCCCCGTTGCCCCCCAGGTACGTCGACTTTGTGGGCGAGCTGTCGGCCGGGCTGTACGGGCACTCGCACCCGGCGATCCGGGCGGCGATCGTGTCGACGCTCGACGGCGTCGGACTCAGCCTGGGCTCGACGACAGCGCAAGAGCAGCGGTTCGCAGCGGCGCTGTGCGCGCGGTTCGGCCTGGCGCGCGTGCGCATGACCAACTCGGGCACCGAGGCCAACCTGCACGCGCTGGCCGCCGCGCGCCGCTTCACGGGCCGCCGCAAGGTCGCCGTGTTCGCCGGCGGCTACCACGGCGCCGTGCTGTCGTTTGGCGGCGACGACGGCGGCGCGCCCGCGCCCGCGCCCAACACGGTCGACCGCGCCGACTTTGTCGTCGTGGCGCCCTACAACGACGTCGCCGCCGCGCGCGCCGCCATCGCCGCCGCCGCGCCCGACCTCGCCGCCGTGCTCGTCGAGCCGATGCAGGGCGCCGGCGGCTGCATCCGCGGCACGCGCGACTTTTTGCGCGCCGTGCAGGACGCCGCGCGCGCCGCCGGCGCCTTGTTCGTGCTCGACGAGGTCATGACGTCGCGGCTGGCGCCGGGCGGGCTCGGCGCCGCGCTGGGGCTCGACTGCCCGCCCGACCTCGTGTCGCTGGGCAAGTACCTCGGGGGCGGGCTGGCGTTCGGCGCGTTCGGCGGCCGCGCCGACGTCATGGCCGTGTACGACCCGCGGGCGCCGAACGCGCTCGCGCACTCGGGCACCTTCAACAACAACACGCTGGCCATGCACGCCGGGTGCGCCGGGCTGGCCGGCGTGTTCACGCCCGACGTGTGCGTGGCGTTCAACGCCGAGGGCGACACGCTGCGGGCGCGGCTCGCGGCGCTGGCCAGGGGCACGCGGCTGGCCTTTACCGGGCGCGGCTCGCTTATCGGGCTGCACTTCACGCAGCGCGGCGTGCATGTTGTCGCGAGCAGCGACGACCTGGCGCGCGCGGGCCGGCGGACCGACCTGCGGGACTTGTTCTGGTTCGAGATGCTCGAGGAGGGCTTCTGGATCACGCGCAGGGGGTTCATTGCGCTCATCTTGGACACGCCCGACGACGAGCTCGACCGGTTCGTGGGCGCCGTGGCGGCGTTTCTGGAGCGGCATCGCGAGATTATGGCACTTTGACGTCTGTTGGCGGAGGTTTGGTTCCCTGGAGGAGCGAGTGTGCAGGTTGTGCAGCTCTCGGGGATTACTGAGTCCTTGAGCTGGGCCTTTGCGCTGGTCTGGGACTGGGGTCAGCAACACGGTAGCTTTTGAGTAAGGGAGTCTTCGTTCGGCTGAATGTGTGGCTGGTATCTTGGTTGTGCGTGGATTTATTGACGGTTGTTGGATCAGGGAGACAAGCAAACCCTGAGGGACAACCTTGCTCGTAGGCAGTCTGTGTAGCTCTGTCATCAATACCGTTCATTCTTTAGGCTTATAGTAATCGTCAGCAAATTGCACTTTGTTAGTCGAAATAAGTTTCTCACTTGTCTGCTAATGAATGGATACAAGTTGTATCTTCATTATGGTGAGATTTTACAGACAAAATAAGGGACAACATGGTCTATGATGACGGAGACGGATAACTTCTTTATACACGGTGCCCGCGTTGACCCCATAATGGAAAGAGACAAGGAATCCAATTAAACACACCATTATAACTCTCGGCAATTTTGTGATAAATCTAATTGTGGAAGTCCTTCCGTGAGGAAAGCCTTATTGAAGCAGACGAAATAACACAAAACTCTCGGCATTTCTTAAAAATCGAAGGCAGTAACCACCACCGTAAAGATTATTCGGGATCTTGCTAAATCTTTAACAGGGAGGAAAAGTTACATAGGTTACATGTTTCGAGAAGGTTCGGAAGGCCTGTACTTTCATAGATTTAGTTACCAGGTCAGGGAGGTGGTGAAGGTATATCGAGCGTTAGCTTGAAGAAAACTAGCTAGTTAAAAGAAAGCTTCGTCACTGCGTAAGTGAGTACAAAATGAAAATTAACCAAAAGGCAAAAAGATATTCGGATACCGGGAATCGAACCCGGGGCTAGTGAGTGAGAGTCACTGATGTTACCGTTACACCATACCCGATTGAATCACGTGGATTGTTGAGAAGTGAGGAGGGTATTGGAGAACAGGTAGGAAAGTGGAACCCTGGCTAGACTAGGGCAACGCTGCCACAGGGACTACACCACGACTGAAGTGATTTATAGATTTCGTTACTGCACAAAGCTATTATGTCTGAACATGACAAAGGTGCTTTGTTCCCGAGAACGTCCGAGACTCGGCACTGGCTATCCGAATCGAACAAGCTCACAAGGGAACAAAGACTCGCGCCCTACGTTATTCGACCGAATCCCATATTAAGACTACAGGCCGTCACTTTACCGACGGCTACAGTTGAATCTAGGTGTTCTAGCAATAATAATCCTTCAATATCTCCCACGATTTTGAATGGCGACAAGAGATTTGAACACGCATACTAACACAAACAAAACAACACCACAGAACCTAATCACGACCAACACGACTGCATACAACACAGGCAGATTATTAAGTCGGATCTCGAACGAATATATAAATCGTCTTAGGAACGAGCCCTTTCCGATAAACAGAAATTACTAACCTAACTACAGATTCAGCGCTTCAACCCAAGCACGCTTCAGCTAAGTACTCTTCCAAGTACTGCACTCTTAGTACTGCACATCTAGCACCTTCATGGTCTATACCTAACTTCCGACTCAATGGCTCGGAATAATGACAGATGGAACGACGACCGTCGCCAAAACAGTAGCCATTGGGGTAAGGACTGGTCAAAAGAGCCGATCATGATGAAGAATCTCGAGCTCTTGGCCAAGACCATTACCAGATCCCAAAATAATCTGGGCGGCGGCGCTTTCGGCAACGGCCATCCTCCTGTCACCAACCCCTCGATCAACCCTTTCAACAGCCCTTTCGGGGCCCCCAACAACCCTTTCGGGGCCCCTAACAACGGTTTTGGGATCCCTAATAATCCTTTCGGGGTCACTAACAACCACTTCGCCCCTCAAGCCGCAGCTCCCAACCCTTTTGCGGGCCGGCGCCCCAACCCGTTCTTGCCGAAATGGCCAGCGCCCCAGCCCAGCTCTCAGCCGCAGCAGGGAGCGCCCAACGAGAACATGTTCGACAACTGGAACGACCACTCGCGGGAGCTGCCTCGGCTGGTCGTCCGGCTGATGCACCTCGAGCAGCGGCTCAAGGACAGCCTCGCGATCGTGCTGCAGGCGGCGCCGGAGATGCAGGCGGCCGTGGAGTTCTTCGCGCCCATGATCACGTCCGTGCAGGCGTTCCTCGTCGTGTTCCGCGTGAGCATCGACACGGCCCGCTCCTTGCACGCCCAGGGCCAGGCCCTCCACCTGACGCCCGGCGACATCCACCAGGGCAGGGCCGCCGTCGACATGTGCGTCGAGTACGACGTGGTCGGCCAGCTCGAGCAGGCCATGTGCCTCGCCGCCGGCAACGGCGGCGTCCAGGCCGCGGCCAACGCGCAGAACTGGGACGTCGGCGGCATCGCCTGGCGCGCCTACGTCGAGGGCCTGCAGGCGTACCGTCAAAAGACCGTCCTCTCGATGGGCTAGCGTGCCGCCACTGGTGCGGCTTCAAGGTAAGCAAGGCGCAAGCAAGGTAAGGTAGGTAACGCGCAAGGAAAGCAAGAGGGAAAGGCGGGAAAGGTAAGTTGGTGGATGGTGGCGATAACGGGGACACCGACACCCAAGCCATGAGTGTGGCTGAGACGGTTTTTTGGAGATATTTCTTCGTATTTTCCGCTCTGGCTTCTTTGTTCCCTTTTTCTTCTATTTTGGGTAAGGTAGGCATGCTTTTGAGCTTCTTTGCTTTTGGATAGCTGGGTTGCCCAGGCTATGGAGTTCCGGATAACTTGTTGTAATATGTTGCATAATTATTTACTACTTGGCCGCATGGCCAGCGAATGTGGCGTCCTGCATAAGGTGAGTCCAATTAAATGGAATTAATACACTGCTTCTTGACTTATACCTAACAGTTTACTGTCGTTTCTAGATTTTAAGGTGATGCCTGATGAGTTTGTGGATCAACTGGTATTGTCTAGTGAACCTCAATTTAATGCTCGCTTATCGTGGTACCTCATTTTTGTTGGAATTAGGCCTGAATTTCCGCTGCAGGACTATTGAGTCTTCTCCTTCTCGGGATATACTGTCTTTTCCATTCCATGATCCCAAGGAAGATTGAAGGAATGCGGTGGCTTGGAGACAGTCTACGCTGCACCGCATCAAGGCATCTAAGAGGCCAAGAACGGACGGCGGCCAACGCTTTCCCCGCAATTCCATGTCTTTGTCTCATATCCATTGAGACGAGGCCTCTTGTCAGGCCGAATATTTCTCGTCTGCAACCGAGCCGTTGTGCGATGTCCTGGACAAGGTACTGATTACAGACACATTTACGTCACTGGTAGAGAAAAGTCGGCACACTGCCATTCGGCCGCCAAAAGACTTAATTGCCAAGTTCTCTTTAGGAAAATAGATGGCGCTTCACGTTGTTCGGAATTTTGAGTTTTAAGAGAAGTGCTGCAATTAAGCATTAAAGTTGTGCGGCGCGACGGACAATCTGCCAAGGGATTACAGGGGGGCTGGGGCGCTGTCGATATAGTGTGCGCTAACAACCGATCAATTCAACAACTGAAAATTAATCCCATTCGCCCGTATAGCTCAGTGGTAGAGCGCATCACTCGTAAGCCCATTCTGCGACATGATGAGGTCCACGGTTCAATCCCGTGTGGGGGCAAAATAATCTGATCTTCTTTTTTGCTCCTAAGACTCCTACACTGTTTATTTTTTTTTAGCTGGCTTCTTCTTTGTGCATGTTTCTTTTTCCTTGTTAATTTTTTTTTTGCGCGATTGTCCACCTCACAGAGCAAAACGTATTGTAGTCAACTACTTTGTCCCCTGGAGCCAGTTTTCCACTGTTCCCGGCAGCCAGAACAGGGACACCGCTAATAGTTATTTTCGTCTTACGGTGACAAGGCGGAGAAAAAAAACCGTGCTTTATTTTTATATTAGCCACCGGTCGTTTAGTGCCCCCTTGTGAACAAGATTAAGATTGCCATTTTCTCTATCCATCTTTGCATAGTTTACCCAACCAAGTAAACCTTTTGTCTCAATAATGAAAGCAAATATCAACACCTTGCACATCCCTCCCGTATGACTTCTTATACAGGTCAAGCACGACCCATCCTGCCACGTTCCAACCACACACAGCGTCCAAAAGGACGTTGACCTGGTCGAACTCGCTTCTCCAGCAGCGGTTATGGTTCTCGTAATTGCACATGTATGCGACAGTGCCCCCAGAGGTTCTGAAGGCGGCATAGTATGTCGGGTACTCCACGCCCAGGTCGCACATCAGGTCGAACTTGTACAGGGCGTCGCTGTAGCCGTTGCCGTTGTAGGAGCGGCTGTGGCAGAACGCTGCAGGGCTGGCCAACTGGCGCTTGGCGACACGGGCGCTGCCTCCCCCGGTGGGAAAGCTTGCGTCTCTAGTGGCTACTTCTTCCTGGAGAACGGGTTCGCCGATGGCGCTGCCCTTGTCGTCCAGAGCTTGGAAGTAGGTGCCATCGTCAAGGCCGATGGGCACGACAAAGGCTTTGCACCAGGAGAATAGCGACAGAGAAAAGACGAGGGCGGTGGTGTATTTCATGATGGCGAAAGAAAACTTCCGAGAAAACGGCGTCAAAGTGTGATTTTGCCGTAGACGCTGTGCGACGAGTGTGCGCTTTTATATCGAGGATCCGAGTGAGATTGGATGCTGAGCCTGGTTCTATTGAGAGCTTCGAGAAACTAGACCCTTTATACTATATCAGACACGAGCTTGCCCCTCTAGTTCGAACTGCAGCCCCTGAGCGGCTCAACCTTGGCTCACGATGACTGTGGACTTTTCCGCATCCCTCAGCCTCTATGTGGAGTCAACCCTGCCCTGCTAGTTGATCCATGGCTCAAATATGCCACGGCCGATAGAAGAGTCTGTTCGCAACCTTGCCGCATGGAGCTACTCCCCCTACTATGCTCCACGCTTGCCAAGGATTTAAAATCTCTTGGGGTAGCCTTCGTTGCGGAGTATATTGGATTTTAGTCACGCATTCTGTTTCCAGGCCGCTCGTTACCTGCAGTCTTGGCGCGTTGGGCGAATCACCAACACCGCAAATATGCAGCAGCTGGGCCAAGTCTTGAGGAATGCTAGGAGCGACATGGCGGTGTCAAGATCCCGGTTCAAGCTCCAGGGCTGAAAGCATGCAGACCATGATTCCAAGCTGGCCAGGGACGGCTCGGTGCGGTTCGATACCAAACCATCTTGAGTCATTATTCCTGTCCCGTCCTTGGGCCGCAGTGTCAGCATGCATGGAGGGTCTTCGCCTCGCCAAGTGGCTGACGGTCGACCCATTCAGCTTGGTCCATGGGCAAACCGTGCGTGCAGGTTCGACAGTTTGACTGTTGTCACACCCACACCTCCATTGGCACGGGAGTTGCTGACCAAGTATAATAATGTATACATTGAAAATCGACAATCGGTATAGGTATGTAGGTAAAGCCGAACTTTTAGTTGAGGGGATAGCAAAGTGTGCGTTTATGAACGCTGCCTCCGTGATTCATCCTTATGGTCGATTGGATGGGATATGTGACGCGAGACGCACGCACCAGGCACCGGCAGCCACTGCCCTTGTCCGCATGGGTCGGATGTGAATTTGGCGGCCTAGTCTTGGGTGCTGGTACCTGGGTGTGTATATTTTACCCCACATGTCGTCTGTAGACTTTGTCATCGGAGAAGACTGGGGAACCGAATGTAACCTGTTGACAGATCACAGAGGAGTTGCAGAGTTTGGTCCTGCAAGGTTGCGGAAGGCGAGACAAATCATCGCCGAGGAATGATTCTGTCCAGGGCAGGAGCATTGTCACTTCGCAGCAGGTAAATTCGGCTCTTCAACCCTATTGCCGTTCGGGACCCCCATGGACAGTACCTTCAGATAGAAAGGCAACCGCCACCCATGCCACCCCTGCCACCCTGCCACCCTGCCACCCTGCCACCCTGCCACCACTCGGTGCCGACTGTTAGCCGACGAGTCTGTGATCTACACAGCCCGTTCTGCTAAGCCATTCTATCTAGTAAACATGGGTGGCAAGCCGCACGGTCGACGCTCCAACAGACCAAAACAGACATGATTGCTCGAATGCTTGAAATGTGAGAAGGGCGACAGAACGTCTAAACATACCCCTTTTCTCAACCAAGATTTTCTCGCCCTTGAACTGGCAATCTCGGGCCCGTCAAGGGGTCGAGTACTAGTACAGGTCAGAGTGTGTGTAACAATTCAATGTATTTGTGCCAGTTTACTAGGAATACCCGCCGTGGCAGGAACCCAACGGTGTCCTTTCCACGTGGCGTTCGAGGAAAGGGCTTCAAAGGGGGGACACGGACCAGCCAAAGACTTCTATTTCAACATCTTGAAATCCGCTGAAAGTTGGTCTCGAAAGCAATCTGCACCCTGCTCTCTGCTCTCACTACTCACGAAGATATATAACCACCTTGACTCTCGGTTCCTAGAACTCGCCTACAACCCTAATTGGAGATTGCTGTCAAATATACTATATTCAGTTTCTCGTCAGCCATCAACCCCTCGACAAAGCTCTTCTTACCCGAGAGCCTCCAGGATGCGTTTCTTCAGCAGCCTTATGATTCTGGTCCTTGAAACTGCCCTTGTCAGGGTCGGCCAGGCCGCACCGGCTGGCTTTTCCGGGGCCCCGGCTGTGGCTGATAATGGCAGCCCGGGGGCTTTCAACTTGACCCGACTCATGGGTAACCAAACATGGGCGCCTCCCCTCCGTACCGGGACCCGCAATGACACCGGGCTCGGAGGGGCTCAGAGGGACAGGGTTTTCAACTACTACTGCGACAGCTACACGTATGAGAACCAGGTGTCCGGGGCCTCGCCCGACGCCGTTGACTGCCAGAAGATTGCCTTCAACATTGACACCGGAGGCGGCTGGTGAGAGACCCCCCTGACCCGGTTGCAGAGCGAGGACACGCAAAGACTGACCGAGCGGGCTTGTAGGGCCTGGATGGGCGGCATGCAGCACCAGCTGGCGTCGTACGGAACGTGTGCGTTTGGGGTGGAGGCGCCGTGGTATAAATTTGGCATCGTCATCGAGACGGGCAACGGCGACATCATCGAGGTGCTCATCCACTCGATCCAGAACCTCATGTCGGCTGACCAGAAAGTCGGCGCCCGCGGGGGCATGCGCTGCCAGGACCTCACCTGGGACAGCGGCTTCATCGACGTCACCTGGGGCATCTATCACACCTAAATTGCCCACAGCCAGTGGGAGGAAAAGGGGTTTGAGAAGTTGGCAGTATCGAGGGAGGACTGGGTGATACCTGCCGAGGACATTTTTGGGATGCGGTGCAGGGATAATAGTAATTGGAAGCTAATGGAGTATCGGGAGTTGCGCAGCCGGGGGTTGGTGAACACGGCATGTCTTGCGGCTGGCTTATATGAGATCCCATATACAATTAAGCATATAACAATAGCTTAACTGGGGTGAATTCTTCTCCATCGGATCAATGCTTCGGCTTTCCCTTGTTCTTCCACGGCATGTTCCGTGACCAAGCAGACGTGCTGGCGCCTTTCGAGCCGTTCGTACTCGCCGCCTTGGATGCGTCCTCGACCTTCTTGAAAGCAGTCTGCTGAAGAACCATCCATCGGCCTTCCATCTCATGTTGGCTCACTTCCCCTCTGCCGCCATCGAGGTAGGTGTCCTTGTCTTGCTGCCCGTCGTACTGGCCGTCTTTCAGACCAAGCACCTGCGACAGAGCCTCTGCCTTGCCGAGCAACCAATCGCCGTGCAGAAGCCCATGTTTCCAGTGATCAGGCAATGCCTTGTATCCGAGGTAGGCTCCAAGCAGCGCGCCGGCAAAGCAGGCGTTGGTGTCGGCATCGCCGCCGCGCATGATCAAGTCGGTGACGAGGGTCTCAAACATCTTGACACGGCTCTGCAGCGCGTGCTGGTTTGCAGCGTTCTGCCGGATCGCCAGTCGTAGCAGCACCACACCGGACCCAAGCGTCTTGTACACGTACCCAATTGCGGGCGGGTCATCAAGCTGCAGGCTGTCGAAGGTGGCGGCAGAGCTGATGTGCCGTTGCAGCTCGGCGAGATCGAGCTCCTCCGCCGCAATATCTTCAGCACTGTTGCCCTCGCCCCCTCCCTCGCCATCTGTCGTCTCGGCAGCCGTAGCGACAGGGCCACCAGGCTGCCCCAAAAACCAGTCCGTCCCGCGGGCTAGACAGGCATCCAACTCGGCCTCGGACCGCACCTCGCCGCGGGCAACGGCGCGCACGAGCGCCGTGGCCAGCACGCACGCCACAACGCAGCGCGGGTCGGCATGCGTGGCGCGCGACATGTCGGCGGCAAGCGCGTACGCCTCGGCCTCGCTTCGACCCGTCACACACATCAGGCCCAGCGGGTGTGTACGCATGATGCTGCCGTTGGGGGCGATGCGCTTGCCCGTGCGCACCCAGTACTCCCGCGCGACACGCGCCGGCTCCTTGTCGAACCCCTTGGACGCCACCACGGTGCTAACGAGGCGGCCTAGCCCCAGCGGCATTGTGTCTAGCGCGCGCAGGCCCTGCGATACCCACACGCGCAGCCGGGCGGCGAAGTCGAGCGTGGTCGGGAGCGGCGGCGGGGTGTGGTCTTCGGGAGACGAGGACGACGACGAGGAGGAAGAAGCAGAGGGCGGCG